CCACCGCCCCGCGCCCCCCGCCGGACCCCCAACCTCAAGCAATGATACACCTCGTCGACAACCTCGCCGAGATGGAGGCCGTCGTCGACCAGCTCACCGCGCTCGACGAGCTACCTGCCCCGGGCGAGGTCTCCATCACCGTCCGGGGCATTGACTGCCTCGACGTCGCGCCCCAGATGCTTCGACTGGCGGGCGTTGCCGAGGACTTGGGCGTCGTCGTCAACAACAAGGACTCCATCCGACTCCTGGATCGCGCGCACACACTGGTTGCTGACACGAGGCAGCACCTCGTGCCAGCAGTTGGTGTGGATCTCTTCGACCACGACCGCCAGGCCCGCCTCCTCGCGTACGCCTACGCCCTCACCCATCTCGGCAACGGTGTCGGGAACGGCATCGGCCAGCTCCTGGAGATGGGCGCCGTGGCGAGCTTCATGAACACCTTCATCGAGCGCGTCAACCAGGCCATCGAGCTTTTCTGGAACGGAACGCTCGCTGGCCCTGAATGCTTCGATGCGGTGCTGGAGGCCAGCGCGATTGTCGGCATCAGGGCCGGCGTGGACTACATTCGTCTCTAAAGCTTGGAAGTACTGCTAGCATTAGAGATATCTGAAAAATATTAATGTATGTCGTTGAACTGCTGATAGTTATCATAGATATCATAGAGGTAGTAATTTATGGTGTTGAGTTATGTAATGGGGAATGAGATATCATAGACACAATAGTAATATAAATATGGTGTTGAGTTATCTATTGGAACGAAATCAAGTGCTCAATTTAGTGTGCCATTTATTAATTATGAGAGCAAGTTTGTTCTAATGGGGCTTCCTTATGTTACTCCCTCACGTTCCTTTTCCAGCGAAAGAAAAAAAAATACAAAAACTCGCATTCTCTCGGAAACAACAACAACAGGAATTGGCGTATCCATTCAACTTGACTTGGAGGCAACGAGGCATTTATATTTCAGCAATATCTCTGGGTTAGACTGCAGCTTCTAAAGATCTTCAGGCATTGAAGAGTGAATTGCAAAAAACCACCACATTTGGGGCTTCATCTGCGGAAAACCACCAGGTCGCTAATTATTTACAAAAAACACCGCGCATTCAGTAAACTTTTTGCAAAAAACACTGATTAGGTGCTTTAGCCCGTTTAACCACTTTCTGACAAATGGGGCCGCAATGTAAGTAGCTGATTTGGCAACAAATTGACATATACTCCCTCCGGTCCTTTTTACTCTGCACATTGATTTTGCCGAAAGTCAAACTTTGCTAAGTTTCACCAAATTTTTATTAAAAATTATTAGCATCTATAATATTTAATAAATATAATATGAAAATATATTCCAAGATGAATCTAATGATATTGATGTTGTTATGTGAATGTCTATAATTTTTTATATAAACTTAGTCAAAATTGGATGAGATTGACTTCAGACAAACCTAATATGCAGAGTAAAAAGGACCGGAGGGAGTACCTCTCTGGATCTTAAAAAAAGCAATCAAGCCCCTCCCCCTCCCCCCGCGTCCCCTCCCCCACGAAGTATACGGCCGCGGACGCGCTGGCGTTCGTGGCGGCGAGCCTCGGGAAGGGCGGGTGGGGTGGAGGTGGAGGTGGATGGCGCGGGAGGTGGGCCGCGCTGTTCCGGCGCGGGGAGAGGTCATCGGACAAGTCGTCGTTGTCGGCGTCCTCGTCCTCGTCGTTGCTCCGCCGGGTGTTCGGCGACGCGACGCTGAGGGACACGGTGGCGCCGCTACTGGTGCCGTGCTACGACCCTGGCCACGGGCGCGCCGTTCCTCTTCTCCCGCGCCGACACCGTCGAGAGCGACATCTTCGATTTCCGCCTCCGAGACGTCTGCGCGGCCACCTGCGCTGGTGGCTCCGCCGCGGCCGCGGTCCGCTCCGTGAACGGCCTTACGGCCATCGCCGCTGCGTCCGGTGGCGTGGCAGCCATGGGCAACCCCGCCGCGGCGGCCATCACGCACGTGCTGCACAACAAGCAGGAGTTCCCCCTCGCCACCGGCGTCGACGACCTGCTCGTCGTCTCCATCGGCTCCGGGTCCTCCTCCGGCGGCACGGCCTCCGGCTCCGCCACCCCGTCCGCCGGCTAGCGCACACCGATCCCCCCGCGCTCGCCGTCCCCCGCCAAAATGGTCCGCCTCACCGCCGAGGGCATCGCCGACATGGTCGACCAGGCCGTCGCCATGGCGTTTGGCCACACCTGCGGCCGCAACTACGTGCGCATCCAGGTCAGCCAAGCCACAGAGCTTCACCTCGCGCGTCCCCTCCATTCTTGTCGTCGTTGTTTCAATCAAACGCTAAGAACGACGAGTTACTGGTTCCAGGCAGCGGCGTCGGCGCACTCGATCAAGGCGCTCCGGTCGCTGGAGGCTCGGAAGGTGGTGGCGATCGCGGACGGGATGCTGACGACAAGAATGGGGTCGGGGTCACTCCACCTCCTCCTCGTCTCCGCGACCACCCGGTCGGCGGCGACGGGAGCCGGACATGGTCCAGGGGGCTGATTGCTTTTTTAAAAATCTATTAGGGGTCTGTGTGTGATTATTTTGCCAAGTCAGCTCCCTACAGTCCGACCCCATATGTCAGAAAGTGATTAAATGGGCTAAATCAGCTGTTCAGTGCAAACTACAAAATGTTTACTGAATGTGCGGTGTTTTTTGCAAATGATTAGTGACCCGGTGGTTTTCCGCAGATGAAGCCCCAAATGTGATGGTTTTTTGCAATTCACTCCGCATTGGGAGATCAGGAGTCAACTTACTTTCAACATTCTACTGCGCAGAGTATACCTGCATGTGCAACTTCTGCTGACTTTCAACATTCTAGTGCGCAGATTTATGTTCGACTATCATCCATGATGTAGGCGTCAACACTGTTCATGGTGACCTGGCAGTGATTAATTCAAAGCTTTTTTTCTCTAAATTTGTTTTGTCCTCACATAACTGAAGGTTATTTCAGATAACGAGCAAAAGAGACCATTAACTGGAGGCTGAAATTGAACTGTTTTATGTATTGTCTTAAATGTTTAAAATGTCTTACAAAAATGAACGAAGGAAGTACTAAAGATGATATATATACAAGCAAAGATTACGATACGCAGTTTCGGGGACTCCGTAACCACCGTTCCTAGCCCCACTACGGCCTCATTTGGTTCTAAGGGAAGATAATTCCATGGAAATGGTGCCCTGGGTAGAATGTTCTTGACCAATTAATAACCCCGTGGAAACTTCACATCACCATTTGGCAGAGATGGGGATAGTACGCCCTTCTTACCAATGCAATTTTTCCATTGCGCTGCTGCGGCTACCATCGCTGGAGAGATGGATGAGTTCCCACAGCTGTAACTCTACAAGAACATGACTATCAGCGGCATCAAATCAGGAAACGGCGCCACCGAATTTGGTCTCGTCAGTGCCATGCCGGAGACAACAAGATCCGAAGAGGAGTTCAACGCTTTCATCACAGATCAAAGGAGCGACACACCTGCTTTTCTCCTTGACGACCTGCAGGGGTGGCGAAAAGTCACCACGCAGGTCAGATGGGGCCAGCAGCTCAACGAGGGATGCCGACGTAGACCAGGTGGAGGAGGGACTCGCCGTCGGCCTGGGGATGGAGGAAGGACACGCTGGCGGGCCCTCGATCCTGGGCACCGGAGGGAGAGGGTCAGGGGCGTTGCTTCGGTCGACGACGGATCGGGTCAGACGCATAGGTTTGGTCGCCGGCGGAAGAGCTCGGAGGCGGGCGCTGGATCTGGGTCGACGACGCCTGTCGCGCTCGTCTCGCTCGAGCTGTGGCTTCTCTCCCCGACCTACGGGGTCGTGGCTTTTCTCCCCGTGTTAACGACGTGGTTCGGGCAGGGATCCCTCCCCCTCGTGTGTGACCAAATGGCATCGTGGGCTTACCTGGGTCAGTTCGACCGGTGGTTTTCCTGCACGGGGAAAAGGCAGGGATCCCCCCAGGATCCCATGCAACCAAACGAGGCCTACAGCAGGCTTGGCACAGGAAACCACAAAAGACAAACCGACCACACGACAGTAAAAGATTAGTAAACGTTCGTCGACCTCCTCCGTCTTGCTCTCGCCGGCGGCATGTCCGTGTCAGCGAGTAAATAGCATAAAACTACTATTTTATATGCTAGGGTTCCAAAAAACTACCGACTTTTAATTTTTCTCAGATAACTATCAAATGGGCGGTCGGCTGTTTCAAAAAACCCAAATTGCTGAGTGCTTATCAACTGATCACGATTATGACAGGTCAGGCCCACACCTAAACGAAGCGTTAGTTTGACCGTTAACTAACATGTGGGGCCCACATGTCAGTGTCTCTTCTTATCTTCCTCTTCTCCTCTCTGCCTCCCTTCTCCTCCACTCTCCCTGCTCGTCAAGAACAGCACAGAACCGCCATGGCCGCCGACCACACTCCACGCCGCTGTCCTGTGCCACGTCCGGCCACCGCCCTATGCCACTTCAAGCCCCACTCTGCTGTTGTTGATGGTAGGAGCTCGCCGGACCTCCTGGTGGCAAGGTGGAGACGAGGAGGCATACCAGAGGCCGGCGACCCTGCCGCGCGCACCATCTGGAGTCTCCGCCGCGCGCCATGGGGCTCCGGGAGGGGTCGCCGCGCTGCCACGCGCCATCAGGAGGCGCTGAGGGCCGCCGCGCCATCCGCCATGGAGCTCCCCTCGGGTCATCGCGCCGTCACCCGCCATCTGGACCGGCTGGGGGTCGTCGCCCGTCATGGGGTCACCACGGCTCGCCGCTCGCCATGGGGTCACCACGGCTCGCCGCCCGCCATGGGAGCCGGCGCAGAGAGGCGAGCATCGGCACTGCGGCGTCGTGCAGCACAGGTCGGCGGGGGGCGTAGATAGGCAGGGAGAGAAGGAGGTGAGGCGAAGGAGCGACCAGGGTTGAGCCCCGGTGATCACCGGCGGTGGGCGCTGAGCGGCTCGCCGACCGGAGGAGGCGACGTCATGAGGTTCGGCCAAGATAGCTCAGGGGCGAGAGGAGTAGCGCCATGGCTGCCCTGATCTGGAGCAAGGACCTGATTGCTTTTTGCAAAGAAATGCAGGGACCTTATTGCTTTTTTAAATTTGCGTGCAGGCCCACCCCTAACGGTCAAACAAATAGAGCTCTTACGCGCGGGGCCGACCTGTCATAATTGTGATCAATTGCTAAGCACTCGATGATTTGGGTTTTCTGAAACAGCCGACCACCCATTTGGTAGTTATCTGAGAAAAATTAAAAACCAGTAGTTTTTTGGAACCCTAGCCTGTAAAGTAGTAGTTTTATGCTATTTACTCCCGCGTCAGCTTCAGCAGGCTCATCCTCGTCGATGCTCAGGCCCAGCTTCAGCATGCGGTGGATCCTGGTACCGAAGGTGTTGGGGTCGTCGAGGCTGAAGCCCGAGGTGAGCAGCAGCATCACCACGTCCTTGAGCAACTTGTCGTTCTTGTCTGCGTCAGCGTGCTTGCGCAGCTCCTCCATGATGGCATTCTTGGGGTTGATCTCCATCGCCTTCTTGCTCGACATGTAGCCGCTCATGCTCGTGTTTCTCAGAGCCTGGGCCT